GACAAGCACAGCCACATGCTGCAAAAATAGGACACCTGTCCGCCATGTATTTCTTGTCACCATTTCATGTCACCTGTCATCGAATCCCAGCATCAGCATCTTCACCGGATGAATAGACGTAGCATGAAGTGACCTCTGTGCGAATAACATATCGCCAGACTGGCCCCATGCCTTGGGAAATGATCTCCCAGAGCAGGTTTCTGGTTTGTGAATGTATTAATATTTTAAAATCCAAACGATGAATTCCAGGCTAACAGCTGAATACACAGTCGAAAGACATTCAAGGTCTCAATTTGGCATTCTGTTTAGTCGTGTTTTAGACACCCCCATGCCAGACAGCCAAGCCAGGTCTTGGACTTGGTCCAAGGCACAACCCCTTCAGCCTGCTGATAGGACATACACAGTCATGGAATACACAGTCGAAAGACATTCAAGGTCTCAATTTGGTATTCTGTTTAGTCGTGTTTTAGACACCCATGCCAGAAAGCCAAGCCAGCTCTTGGACGTGGTCCAAGGCACAACCCCTTCAGCCTGCTGATTGATCATACACAGTCATGGAATACACAGTCGAAAGACATTCAAGGTCTCAATTTGGCATTCTGTTTAGTCGTGTTTTAGACACCCATGCCAGACAGCCAAGCCAGGTCTTGGACATGGTCCAAGGCACAACTCCTTCAGCCTGCTGATTGGACATACACAGTCATGGAATACACAGTCGAAAGACATTCAAGGTCTCAATTTGGCATTCTGTTTAGTCGTGTTTTAGACACCCATGCCAGACAGCCAAGCCAGGTCTTGGATGTGGTCCAAGGCACAACCCCTTCAGCCTGCTGATTGGACATACACAGTCATGGAATACACAGTCAAAAGACATTCAACTCTCAATTTCCAGAAGAATTCGCATTCTGTTTAGTCGTGTTTTAGATACCCATGCCAGACAGCCAAGCCAGGTCTTGGACTTGGTCCAAGGCACAACCCCTTCAGCCTGCTGATTGGACAATGAAGAGACAGAAGCATCCTAATGAGTCAGTTTGCCCAGTTTCATGCAGAATAAACACGTTTGCTCTTTGTTCTAACTTGCTGCCCATGATGATATAGCAGACGTGGTAATGCATGTGTTCAGAATACACCAGGTGCACAGCTCCCAATGTACACAGGACAATGTCTTTTGGCACACTGACTTATGAAACTCGGTGTTTCCTGTTACTGTGCGTGCAGCCTTGTGCTGTCATCTGTTGGCATGTTACAAAACTATTCTCAAAACATTTTGATACCACCCACATGGAAGAAAAATATATTTGAAATATATTTTAAAAATATTCTTCCTAAATATATTGCCATATATCTGAAATACTACAATTTTGGCCATATTCAATATATTTCACTATATATATATATATATATATATATATATATATATATATATATATATATATATATATAAAACTGCATGTTGAAATGTGTTTTTATTACAAAATATATGAAATATATGAAAATATATTGCCATATATTTCAAATACTACAATTTTGGCCATATTCAATATATTTCACTATATATATATATAAAACTGCATGTTGAAATGTGTTTTTATTACAAAATATATGAAATATATGAAAATATATTGCCATATATTTCAAATACTACAATTTTGGCCATATTCAATATATTTCACTATATATATATATATAATTGCATGTTGAAATGTGTTTTTATTACAAAATATATGAAACATATTTTTAAAAACATATTTTTCAAATATACTATACGTCTTTAAAAATACAAATCTACATTTTTGGAATGCATTTACAGATATATGTAAAAATATAAGTTAAAATGAATTTTTATATGTAAAAAAAATATCTGAAGAATATATTTAAAAAAAATATATTTTTTTTAAAAAAATATATATTATTAAAATAAGTTCCTCAATATTTTTTTTAACATAAAAAAGTAATTTTAACATATATTTTTACATATATTTTTAAAAATACAAATCTACATTTTTGGAATGCATTTACAGACATACAGTATATTTGAAATATATTTTTAAAAATATTTTTCATATATTTTGTAATAAAAAACACATTTCAACATGCAATATATATATATATATATTTATTGAAATATATTGTGAAATATATTGAATATGGTCAAAATTGTAGAATTTCAAATATATGGCAATATATTTGGGAATAATATTTTAGAAATATATTTTTTCTTCCATATGGGCACCTCATAGATTTCACTTCCTCCTGCTAAGGTGCCCAAGGCAGCTCCCTTTTCTGCCTATCCCTTGGCCCGACCCTGGTTGTAAGGCATCTCCAGGTTCCAATGCAGTGCCTCGGGCCATTCAGCTGAGCTTTCATGTATCTGTTCCAGGGGTCCCTGCAGAGGAAATGGGAGGAAGAGGGAGCATCACTGTGGGACAGTGAACCTTGGGATCAGGCACTCCCGGAAGTGTCGGATTCCGTTCCAATTGTAACAGAAACAATTGAGTACTGTCCGTGATACTTTTTTTATTTGCACTAACATACAATTTTTAGGACAAGCTTTCGGGGTATGTCCCCTTCTTCAAAGTCCAAGCACTACTATACAAATCACAAAGTTTCAGCAGAATGTTAGAAGGGATGAAAAAAAAAAAAAGAGGCTAGAGATAAGATACAGCAAAAGCGAGGGGGGGAGGGGGGGGGAATACTACACTCACACAGAGGGAGTCAAGCTTGAGCTAATAGTCTTAAAACTGTTGGATAATGAGTGAGGAATCCCATGTCCAAATTCAGGCCGTTATCTCTAGTGTCAAATAGAATTATCATTCTTAGTTCCAATTGTAAAAAATTTTTCAGCAACTTGATGTAATTTCTGAAAACACAGCAGCATGTGTGTATGTCTAAAATTGACAGTATTAAATGGTCATTAGAACGTGCTAAGTGGTGACAGGTTCCCTTTATAGGATACATATCTGCATTGATTTTGCTGCCTACATGGAATTCAGCTTTAATAAGCCATAAAGATTTCCAGCTAATTAGCACAGTATGGCTTAAGGTAAGCAATTAAGATAAACCTAGACCCCCTAATTAGTGGATTTCTAAAAAAAAAGAAATAATATGAAGCAGCAGCATGCAATTAATGGCTATATACACACACAAAAAGAAAAAAAACAACAAATACAATGTACATTAACCACTTGCCCTCCAGAGGATTTGCCTCTCTTTTTCCTGACCAGGCCATTTTTGCATTATGGCACTGCGTTATTTAAACTGACAATTGCGTGGTCATGCAACGCTGTACATAAATGAAATTTATGTAATTTTTTCCCCACAAATAGAGCTTTCTTTCAGTGGTATTTGATCACCTCTACGTTTTTTATTTTTTTGCGCTATAAACAAAAAATACCAACAATTTAAAACAAAACAATATTTTTTTTGTCTTTTTGCTATAAAACATATCCAATAAAAAATTTTTAAAATCAAATTCTATCTTAAATTTAGGCCAAAATGCATTCTGCTACATGTCTTTGCTAAAACAAATCCCAATAAGTTTATATTAATTGGTTTACGTGAAAGTTATAACGGCTACAATTGGCGGTATATATACTGGAATTTATATTTACATTTTTTTTAATACTAGTATACTAGTCACAATCAGCGACTTATAGCGGGACTGCGGTGGGTATTCTGACACTTGGGGGGAACTGACTGTCACTGACATCCCTAGTGACACTAATACAGTGATCAGTGCTAATAAAAAGCACTGACACTTATGTCACTGGGCAGGAAGGGGTTAACATCTGGGGCAATCAAAGGGTTAACTGTGTGCTGTGTTTTACTTGGGAGACATGCTGCTTTGTATCTCTCTGCTGTGTTTACACACAAAATCTCTCCCCTCTCAACCCTGCCAACGATCACCTAGTCTTGGCTGGGAATCTCCGGCCGGCACCTGGTGATTGACATCCCCAGTAACCAATAGCAGCGTGGGTAGGGCGGAAATGCAAATCATGTATATATACGTGATTTGCACAGCTGTGCCACTCTGTAGCAATACTTCTGCTATAGGGTGGAAGGCAAGTGGTTAAAAGAAATAAACTAAACTTCCCTAATATACCCAAACACCCACACCCTTTTATGAGCATAGGCACCTGGGACCGTGGGATGTAAAATTTGGACAAATTTTCCTACTCCCAGGGCCACAAGTGCTGCTTACAGCAACCCATTAAAAATCAATGGCTGTACGCAGCTTTACCCTGGTATTTGCATAAGAACATGCATGCATACTGCTGTGGCCCCTGAGCACAGACAGCCTGCACCCAAGGTCATACATCCATATTCATGCATGTATTTATGCAAAAATCAGAATATACCTGTGTACAGATGCATAAAACTATTGATACCTATGGGTGGCTGAAAGCAGCCATTGACTTCTGTGGCTCCCGAATTTCAAGTCTTCTAACCACGGGCATCTGTGTGCTAGACTCCAAATATATATATAAAAATGTATTCAGTTTTTTTTAATGCAAATTTCCCCTAAGCAGTTTCATGAGTCAAATTTTTTCACCTTTTGCTGACCTATCAGAAAATGCTAGATCCCATGCTGCCAAATCTGACGCAATGGCTTCAAGGCTTGAGTCAATAACATGTAGAACAAGTAAGCAGATAAGAACTTTCATCCTCTATCTGACTTCTCTGGTCTGCTTTCTTTTTTTTTAGGGGGGGGGGGGGGGGGGTCGTTGACATAGAATTTAAAAAAAAAAAAACAGCCAGAGATTTCTGAAAATGCCCAGAAATAGTATTTCTACATTTACTTTAATGTCCATGTGTCAATCTCGGGACCAATGAAAAGATTATTGTTAAAGGTTTTTATTTTAGAGATGATTTCATTTCTTTGCAAAGTAGATGAAAGACACTGACATACTTTTTTAACCAGGTTGCTCTATATATATCCGCCTTTTTAATGCCCTTATGGGTTTTTTTTGTCATTTTCATTTTCACTTCTATTTTTATAGGTTAACCTGAAGGAACAAGGCCGACTGCTACGCCAAGGGGAGTTTGTGATCTCCTACAGGAAGAGAAAGTGCCTCAGGAGGGTGTTCCTCTTTGAAGATCTGATTCTGTTCAGTAAAACAAAAAAGGCCGCCTCGGGAAAGGAAATCTATGTGTACAAACAGTCCTTCAAGGTAATCCAATGGTTTCTTGGAGCCATAGATAAGAGCATTCTTTAGAGCTGGCCATACGCAGTACTAATTTTGGCCGGTACCTAATGAATAGAGCTTTCTTTTGGTGGTATTTAATCACAACTGAGTACTTTATTTTTTGCTAAATAAAACAAAAAACACCTGAAACTTTTGAAAAAAAAAAACGCACTTTTCTTTGTTTCTGTTATAAATTTAGCAAATAAATAACATTTCTTCATAAATGTAGGTCAAAATGTATTCTGCTACATTTCTTTGGTGAAAATAATAATAATAATTGAATTTGTATTTTTTTTTCAAATGTTTCTATTATTTATTTTCATTTTTATAAAATGTTTTCTTTTTTTTACTATTTTATTTTTCAGCACACTGTGACCAAAGCAATACAATGTTACCATAGTAACATTGAACTACTCTGGGCAAGTGATCAGGATTTTTTTTTTTCAAAGCGGAGTTCCACTCATCCTGTCAAAAAAAATAAAAATCAGCACTAGAGATGAGCGAATTATTCAAAAATTCGATTCGGCTGATTCGTCGAATTTGCGGGAGAAATTTGATTCGATGCGAATTTATTCGCCGCGAATTTAACTTATTAAAAGGGTTTCTAGGCTTCAGAGAGCCTTTATATTAGTGCAGAACACTGTACCTTTAATTTAAATGCCCTTGGAGTCTGCTGGGGAAGAGAAATAATACTGTCAGTCAGTATGACATGCAGATGAGTGCCGTCGATCTTAGAATCACCGCACACTTCACTCATTTGGGCAGTCACGGGGCACGACGAAGAAGAAGAAGAATGAAAAGAAGAATGAAAAGAAGAATGAAAAGAAGAAGAAGAAGAATGAAAAGAAGAAGAAGAATGAAAAGAAGAATGAAAAGAAGAAGAAGAAGAATGAAAAGAAGAAGAAGAATGAAAAGAAGAATGAAAAGAAGAAGAATGAAAATGAAAAGAAGAATGAAAAAAGAAGAAGAATGAAAAAGAAGAAGAAGAATGAAAAGAAGAAGAATGAAAAGAAGAAGAATGAAAAGAAGAAGAAGAAGAAGAAGAAGAAGAAGAAGAAGAAGAAAAGAAGAAGAAAAAAAAGAAGAAGAATGAAAAGAAGAAGAAGAAGAATGAAAAGAAGATGAATGAAAAGAAGAAGAAAAGAAGAAGAAGAATGAAAAGAAGAAGAAGAAAAGAAGAAGAAGAAGAATGAAAAGAAGAATGAAAAAAAAGAAGAAGAATGAAAAAGAAGAAGAAGAAGAATGAAAAGAAGAAGAATGAAAAGAAGAATGAAAAGAAGAAGAAGAAGAATGAAAAGAAGAAGAAAAATGAAAAGAGAAGAAGAAGAATGAAAAGAAGAAGAATGAAAAGAAGAAGAAGAAGAATGAAAAGAAGAAGAAGAAAAGAATGAAAAGAAGAATGAAAAGAAGAAGAAGAAGAATGAAAAGAAAATGAGAAGAAGAATGAAAAGAAGAATGAAAAGAAGAAGAAGAAGAATGAAAAGAAGAAGAAAAATGAAAAGAAGAAGAAGAATGAAAAGAAGAATGAAAAGAAGAAGAAGAAGAATGAAAAGAAGAAGAAGAAGAATGAAAAGAAGAATGAAAAGAAGAAGAAGAAGAATGAAAAGAAGAAGAGAAGAAGAATGAAAAGAAGAATGAAAAGAAGAAGAAGAAGAATGAAAAGAAGAATGAAAAGAAGAAGAAGAAGAATGAAAAGAAGAAGAAGAATGAAAAGAAGAATGAAAAGAAGAAGAAGAAGAATGAAAAAGAAGAAGAAGAATGAAAAGAAGAATGAAAAGAAGAAGAAGAAGAATGAAAAAAGAAGAAGAAGAAGAATGAAAAGAAGAATGAAAAGAAGAAGAAGAAGAATGAAAAGAAGAAGAATTCCAGTACAGCAAAAAGTGTATCTGCAGAGAGCTCCGCTATTTCTGACAGTTCTCTGACAGTTCCTTCACATTTACAGCGGTTGAAACATTGTATCTATTTATTTCCGAATAAAAACATCTGTATCCTAAATGGAAACAAATAGATACAATGTTTCAACCGCTGTAAATGAACTGTCAGAACTGTCAGAGAACTGTCAGAAATAGCGGAGCTCTCTGCAGTGACACTTTTGCCGGCTGATCGGGGAAAATTCGATTCGTGCATCCGAAGTTTGCTAAAATTCGGATTCGATGCGAATCAAATTTTTCCTAATATTCGAAACGAATTCCACTTCGCCAAGTTCGATTCGCTCATCTCTAGTCAGCACCTACAAAAGCTGTAGCTGCTGACTTTTAAAAAACAGCCACTTAGCTGTCCCTCGAACCTGTGGTGTGTCCCCCGCAGCCCGTTTCATCAGCTGTCCTGGATTCCAGGAGGCTGGCATCTTCAGTGTGGGCACCCGGCTGTGATAGTTTGCTGCTTCACAGCCAGGTACCCACTGCGCATGCGTGAGTAGCACTGCGCTTTATGAATGGTCCTGCAGTCTTCTGGAACCTGTCACATGTCCCAAAAAACTACAGGGAGGGAGGACACCTTCTGTTTCCAATCGCCTTCGATCGGTCCGGAAGTGGGAGTGGGTACCTGTCAAATTCGGGGATCCACCCCCCAAAGGTGCAAATCCTTATGGGGAGCGGGGGAGCAGTCCTTAAAGCGTAACTTCCGCTTTTGGGTGTAGCTTCGCTTTAATACATTATGATTGCTAATACCAATATATTTCATTGATATTTGCAATCATTGTTTCTGAATGAAACTGATTCATTCAGTCTTTTGTTGTGATTAACTGTGATTGGGCAAAGCTGATCACATGATACAGATGGGCTGTGAGTTGCCCTGTCTGTATCATGTGACTGCCTTGAACAGTCACAGCTAACATAATTGTATACAATGACATGTATGACAGGAATGACAGGAAGCCACCCATTGTATGCAATTGACATATGATCTGCTGTGATTGGTTGAGAAGGTCATTGGGAGAGAAGGTGTTAACCCACAGGCTGAATGAAAAAAATCTATTTTTGTATGGATAGTTTACATCAGTAAATCAGTGATGTGTTTTACTGGGTGGGTTAAACTGACTGCTAAGACATTGTATTCTGACAGTGCAACTCTCCACTGTAATAATACACTGATCAGTGTCTGCAGCCACTGATCGACAAAAGTTGTCCAGTTTGTCGGTTCTACACAAGTCGATCTAATGTTCAACTTCAGGGACGACTACACATGCACTGAAATTCATCCGGTCTTTGCAAATTTCGACCCGTCTATGTCCGGATGCACAGCACTCCCACTTTGTGCTTACCATGGACCTTTCACCAATAATCCCTTCTGCAGGTGCACATACAGTAGTCCTTATTGTTCTCAATAATAATTGGAGAATATGGGAGTACCATGCCTTCCATTTACTCAAGAAACCAAAAGAGGAAGGGTAATGATTCCTCTGCGGAACCCCTACATTGAGGCATTCTGGAATTTGGACTGGTATCACAATACTTTTGGCACTGCACTTGTAAACACAGCAGCTTAGGGCCTAGCATCATATACTGTATATGTTTTCCATGTTATTATTACAGGTACTTATATTGTGCTGTCAATTTACACAGCACTTTACATATATATTCATATCAGTCCCTAACCCTCAAGGGGCATACAATCTAAAGTCCCGAACTTGAATTCATACATACACATACTAGGGCCAATTCAGACAATATCCAATTAACCTACCAGCATGTCTTTGGAGTGTGGGAGGAAACCCACAGAGGCACAGGGAGGACATGCAAACTCCAGGCGGGTGGTTCCATGGTTGGGATTTGAACCAATGATCCTAGTATTGCCAGGCAGAAGTGCTAACCATTTAGCCACTGTGCTACCAAGTACATGCATCCTGGTGTCTGTGAAGTTCTTGGTTTTGTTCACACCTGACCCAGGTCAGTCCCTTACTGCAGCCTCTTACCTTTTGATTGGCTACAAAAGTACAATGTTGGAGTCTGATTACTGGGGGGAGAGGAGAAGAAATGTTTCCTCCTGCATGCTGCAGACTTATGACATCATCTTAGCCTAGGCACAATCACTTTACTAGATCTTAAGGCACACAGATGCAGTTTTTTTATTCAACCATAGGGTTGAGCAAAAAAAAAAAAACCTGACATATTCTCACATCAACAGGAGCAATGTTGATGCAGGTGTAGCACCCTCTGTGTAGAGTGTAGGAAAATTTACTCGGGCTTCTCTGTAGGCAGAGGAGCCGGGGTTAATTTGTTTAGAGATAGTTGGCAGAGCTCCAGGGGCTGAGTCTCTGTTGCCTCCCACTGGCTTCTGGAACTGCTGGAGGGTTCTAGAACTTAGAGGGCGGAGGGGCAGAGATGATGCCTGAATATTTTTATGGAGTATCCTCCAATCCCTGGGTGAGAGTGGCCCAGAAGGTGGAGAGACAGGCCATAAATATTCTGGAGACTGGCCATGTGTGAGCACAATCCAGAGTCCAGTTGCCTGGAGAGGACCCCTATCTGGGGGGCTCTTCCCCAGGCAGAAGGAAGGAGCCAGAGAGAGAAGAAGTGAAAGCCTTACACCCTTCCAGCCTCAGCTAGGCTTAGCCAAAGCCATCCTGGGAGCCATTGAGTCCTGTTCAGCAGGGGGCCTGCTTTAGGATTCACCAAAGGGACTGCATGAGTAGCTTCAACCACTACACCCCAGAACCTGTTAGAGGAGAAGCAGCCAGGTGCAATACCCAGCTTGCTTATTGACAATGAACAGCTTAGAGCCACTTAAAGTACACCTCTTGCTTGGGGAATCTAAGGAACAGCCAGGTGCCTTGGCATTTTTCTACAGAGAGACAGCACCTGCATTCAGTGTTTTCATTCCTTTGTTACCTGTTAAACTGATCCGGTTATCCTACAAGAGGAAAGCCTAGTGATTTTCTGCTCCTCAAGTTGTATAAGTACAGTTCCAGGCATCCCATACCTTCCCATCTCCCTAATAAACCAAAAATAAAAAAAAACAAAACAAACAAAGCACCCTGGACTGATTTTTGGTGAATGCCAGAAAATTCCTGTTGCCTGGCTGTGCATGAGAGGCCGACTCAAAAATCTAGAGGCTCTTTCTGGGTTTAGCGCTACACATGGATCTCTCTCGTTGTGCTATTTTATTCTGACAGGGGGGGATTTCCCCTAGACAGAATACACTGATCAGTGCTCGCAGCCATTGGCTGCAAGCACTGATCAAATGCTGCTTTTCCAGCTTGCCCGTTTGACAGATGCCGTCATTCTATTGAACAAAAAGCAGTCCACACGGACCAAAAGTCAGTTTTTTTTTTTCCCGATGTGTGCCAAACTTTAGTCATCTTTCACACAAAGGGTCTGATCAGGTCTGCCTGTCAGTTATTCTGGTGGACCTGTTCAGATATTCCATTCACCCCTATGGACCAGCAGGTGTAAGCGGACTCGTGTCATTTTACACCCACCTACCTTCAATCCGATGTGCTAAAAAAGAAAAATGGAGGGGGATCTGTTCGCCTCTGCCTAGGTGGTCCGGATCAGAGATAGTTGAGTGTATACGGACAGCGGAGTCTCTTTACACCCAGCCGTCAACAGAGCAGAGTGAGCTGCGTCCGTATCCACTCTGCATAAACTGAGCAGACATGGATCTGTCATCCACCCCCTGCATATCAGCAGATCAGTTGACAGATCCCCTGCTGAGCAAATTGGAATCTGATGAATTTGAAAGGGGCCTTAGGGTCAGCCTAAGTGTTAAGATGACTCGAAATTCGGTTGGTTCAGCAGGAACCAGCCAAATTTCAATGTACAGCCTCTCCTGATTGACAGATGTCAATGGACTGCTGTCAAACTGACTTGTTGGAATTTTTTTCTTGATCATCAGCTGCAAAAAAAAATGGGCTGAAACCACTGATCAGTATATTCTGACAGTGGAGAGTTCCCTCTGTCAGAATGCAGTGCCTCAGTGGGGAGGATTCCTCTATCCACCTCACGTGTGTGGATGGAGGAACCTGTTCATTTTTTTTTCATCCAACCCTCTGGCTGACCAACAAGAGCCTTAGATTAAAAATGAAGATGGAGGGGGAGAGTAAAGTATATAGTGTGCAGCAGGATCTTCCTTGGAACACCTGACATCTACTGCTTAGTCTCGGTCTGAAAACCGATCCACTACAGATTGCTTCCCAGATCTGTGGCTAGTGTGCGGAAGAAAAATATATTTAATATAATATAATTTGAAAAATATTTAAAAAATATTCTTCCCAAATATATTGACTTACATTTGAAATGCTACAATTGTAGCCATATTCAATATATTTCAATATATATATATATATATATATATATACACATATATACAGTATACTGCATGTTGAAATGTGTTTTTATTACAAAATATATGAAAAATATTTTTTTAAATACTTTTCAAATATACTGTATGTCTTTGGAAATACAAATCTACATTTTTGGAAATGACTTTTTATATATTAAAAAAAATCTGAAGAATATATTTAAAATAATATATATTTTTAATAATATATATTTTTTTTAATATATTCTTCAGATTTTTTTTAACATATAAAATAGCAATTTTAAGATATATTTTCACATATATTTGTAAATGCATTCCAAAAGTGTAGATTTGTATTTTTAAAGACATACAGTATATTTGAAATGTATTTTTAAAAATATTTTTCATATATTTTGTAATAAAAACAAAAACGCATTTCAACATGCAGTATATATATATATATATATATATATATATATATATATATATTTATTGAAATATATTTTGAAATATATTGAATATGGCTACAATTGTAGCATTTCAAATATATGGCAATACATTTGGGAAGAATATTTTTTAAATATATTTCAAATATATTTTTCTTCCATGTGGGGAACCTAGCCTTACTTTGTGAACCTAGACAAAAAACTGTGACATAGTCATCAATATCAGATACTCTTGTGAAGAACTGAATTATGGAAGATCTTTGTTAATTTACTGTATTTTCCATCTTTGACTTTTCTCAGACTTCAGAAATCGGCCTAACTCACACTTTGGGAGGCAGTGGACTCTGCTTTGAAATCTGGTTTCGAAGGAGGAAATCAGAGGACACGTACACTTTTCAGGCCCCGTCTGGTGATGTCAAGGAAGCTTGGACTGAGGACATACAGAAGATTCTGTGGGACCAGGCAATAAAAAACCGAGGTGAACTGTACCAGCTGCTACATATCAATATTACGGATGATGCTCATGTTACTGATCTTATTGAAATGAAGCACTTTTTATATGGCTCAGAGCTGTCAATTGTTTTGTATTGCCTTCTGAAAGCTTAGATTGCGTTAATGTCACCAAGGACACCTTATTCTTTTGAAAGGCATTCTCCATTATCAAGTCAGCTCTGTAATTAACACTGGTACACAGTGCTGTGGTAGTTCATTGAGAACTACAAGCTGACAGCCGCTAAGGCTGTTGGGACTTATAGTTCATTTATTCACAGAACACTGTAGAGCTCTCTGTGAATGAATGACGAGACCGTGTGGGCAGAGCCCCGCACCGACACACTGTTTTTAAGTGACAGCTGGTACGGAAAACTTCTCCCCGTACTGCTGTCAGGTTATATGCGGGCAACAACGGGTGGAACATGTAACATGTTCCCAAGGGTGAACTTATCCTTTAAAGAAGTAGCAGTCCAGGCATGAGGTATTTAAGGAATGTAAAAATATAATAGCCAATTTGGAGCCTTCTCTACCTTTTTGGATCAGTTTTTCAACAGTAATGCATACAAATACATAGAAACCTACAGTAAATGTGGAAAAATACAGAATCATTGAGGTTGATTTACCTAAAATTTAACTAAAGTCAAAACATTCTTTTTTTAGTTGTGGATAAAGTTGAGAGGGATTAGACCCCCTGTCAGGTTTTTATTGCCTGTGTCCCCATTAGGAAGATTAACCCTCTCTATTGTCCTGTTTACCGTTATCATTGAAAATAAAAGAAAATCGCAAATTTTGGGTTTTCCCCATAAAAGTAGTAGGGGGGAAATATTCAAATGGAGACACTAGTTCTGGTTACCTGGGGGTCCTCAAGAAATTCTTTCATTTGTAGGGATTTCCTCTCAATTCCTGTATTGGCTATAGGACAGGAGTAAAGGGAAAACTCTCCAATTTTGGAAGCAGGGTATTTATATACACTATATTGCCAAAAGTATTGAGACACCCCTCTAAATCATTGGATTCAGGTGTTCCAATCACCTCCATGGCCACAGATGTATAAAATCAAGCACCTAGGCATGCAGACTGCTTCTACAAACATTTGTGAAAGAATGGGTTGCTCTCAAGAGCTCAATATTCCACAGTCAACTGTTAGTGGTATTATAACAAAGTTGAAACAACTGGGAAACAACAGCAATTCAGCCACGAAGTGGTAGGCCACGTAAAATGACAGAGCGGGGTCAGTGCATGCTGTGAATAAAAATGAATTTATGCCAAGTAAAAAGTTTGGTGGAGGAGGGATTATGGTGTGGGGTTGTTCTTCAGGGGTTGGGATTGGCCCTTTAGTTCCAGTGAAAGGAATTCTTAACGCATCAGCATACCAAGACATTTTGGACAATTTCATGCTTCCAACTTTGTGGGAAAAGTTTGGGGATGGCCCCCTCCTATTCCAACAAGACTGCACACCAGTGCACAAAGCAAGGTTCATAAAGACATGGATGGGTGAGTTTGGGGTGGAGGAACTTGACTGGCCTGCACAGTCTGACCTCAACCTAATAGAACACCTTTGTGATGAATTAGAGCGGAGACTGTGAGCCAGGCCTTCTCATCCAACATCAATGCCTGACCTCACAAATGCACTTCTGGAAGAATGGTCAAACATTCCCATAGACACTCCTAAACCTTGTGGACAGCCTTCCCAGAAGAGTTGAAGCTGTTATAGCTGCAAAGGGCGGGCCACTCAATATTGAACCCTACGGACTAAGACTGGGATGCCATTAAAGTTCATGTGTGTGTAAAGGCTGGCGTCCCAATACTTTTGGCAGTATAGTGTATATGTGCAATTTTTGATACTATTTTTTTCAATATTTGACATCTAGAAAGATATTTTGTTTTTACTTAATTTATCTTACATGTTTTTGATACAACACATATGTCTTGTGAAAGCAGCTTTCCTTTGACTGGTATTCTAGTCACCTATTTTCTTTTGTATTAATACATCTGCTGCAGGGACTGCACTGACTTAGCCCTGGTTCACACTAGCATACAGGCTGCGGACTGGTAGCGGGTGCAGGAATCACACCCGTTCCGGCAACAGCCGAATTGCGCTCCTCTTGCAACATAAGATAATCATAAGATAAAATACCAAATGGTTTCATGTGTAATATATCTCACATTTTGATGAAATAACGTATACTTTAATTTAGTAGTGTTTTTTTCTGCATTGCAAAAAAAATTGCAAAAAAAAGTTTGAAAAAAGCTAAGAGTTATGTTGCACTACCTCCTTAGGGGTTGCTGATGAATTTGGTCCCCCTATAGTCCTGCATAGCCAGGCAATCTGCATTCTCCACACAGGCTTGCGTTCAGAGTCAGAAACCAGTCCTTGAGCTTTTGTTTTGTTGTTCATTGAGTGGAGTTAAAACTGGGATAGGGTAAGGGGGATATAGGATGCCCAAGGGAACCAATAACGGAGGATAAACTTCCGGGAACTATTCACATGCTTCTCTTCTGCAACACAGTCTCTGTTGAGGAACTAGCCAGCATCTCCTTGATGTACCACCCCAGACCTGAGATGAAATTCTTTGTAGATTTTCCTGAGCAGAGGATCTGGCTGCTATTCCTTTAAACGGGTGAACAGCCACTAGTAGAGGGCTATCTGGTTTCCCACCAGAGTGCTCCTTCCCCTATCTGCCCAAGGGTTGCAGTTATACTCACTCAGATCCTCTCCTGCACCGCATGTGGGTTGGCGGCTGCTACCAGGCCTATCAGCTGAGCCACGTCTTCCCTGCCATGTAGGTGGTCCTCGCTCAGGGGGCCAGTGAACTCCAAGTTTTCTGCCTTTCCAGCTCCAGGCTCGCAGATAGGTCCCATCCCACTAGGCCTCCTGGCAGCCTTCCTCCTCTAGCCTCACATCTTACTCTCCTCACTCCTCTCCCTCCTCCCAATTCTCCTGCTACTGAGCAGGCTCCAACTATTTTAAGGAAGTCCTAGCCCCTTGCCAAGCCTCCTGTTGGGTATTGGCTGAGGTCCCTCAAGAGTGCAGTCAGCCACTCCTAAGATCCAGCCACTTTCTCCAAGACCTTCCTCTGAATGCCTCAGAGCAGGGGGGAAATTCCAGAAGCCTCTCAGCCCTGACCACAATTTGACCCCTCTGGCTGTTAAACCTAAGTTGCTAACCATCTCTTATCTATCTAACCATTAGGATCTACCTCCCCCTAGCTGAGCTGAGTTATTTTATCTCAGATTTTAAGAGAAAAATAACTTTGTGAATGGAGCCCTGTGTGAGAAGTACAATAAGGATAGACGGATAGGACAATTTTATTGTATAGCTTTTCATTTTGTTCTGTTTTATTCTCAAGTTACTAACCCTCTGCATTATTGTACGGCAGAGATGCGCAGACAGGAGCGAGCGTTCTCAGGTCTGGGATGTAAACCTTTCACTGACATCCAGCCAAGTGAAGCAGCCATCAGTAGCAGGGCCATCCCTCTGACAGGAGAGCGGCAGGTAATATATTTTCAGTAGAAGGATTTCAGACAATTTGTGAGTTCTGCTTTTTGGTTAAGTTGCTGTGCTGGTATGGCATAGCCGTGCCATAGGAGGTGAATCCCATCCTAGCTCAGTGTGATGTTATCTGGGGACAACATACGGGTTTTCTGGCACCACAGTTCCACTGCTGGGATCTTTCCGCACAGGAAGGGTCAGTCTTTACCAGGAAGAATCCCAACACAGGAGAGTTGAGTATTCAAAGACGGTGCTAAGTTTAAATTAGGGAGGGTTGGTGGATCACTTTTCAGAGGGTGGCATCTGGACATTCAGGAGGAGATCCTGCCTCTTCATGAATTCCCCTTTTTTTGCTCTTTTTTTCTTTGCCGAATGACAATTTTGAATGGAACCAGTCAGTGCCAGGACAAGGTCATTTAGAGCTCAGGGTGAGTATGCCAAACTGTATCCCCACCGCAAGATGTATGAGCATAATGTCAGCAAAAATCCCTCCCCCCCTCAAAAAAAATTGAGCACCAATCTGCATGCATGCTCTTACCCCTAAGCACAAATCTATACTCCCCATCCCCTAAATCCCCCCCAAGAAAAACGTCACCCCACCGAGAACAAATCCTCTACCCCTTGAATTTCCCCTCGAATTTCACATCCTCCCACCCCCCCCCCCCCCCTCCAAATACCCCCTCCCAGCACAGATCCGCCCCCCTATCCCAACTTCGAACACAAATCCCCCGACAAAAAAAATGTACCCTTTTAGCACAAATACCCCCCCCCCCCAATCATCCCTACAAGTACAAATCCCTTCCCCCACCACAAAAAAAGTCCTCTCCTAGCACAATTCCCCTCCCCCTCTACCATATCACCCCTTCTAGCACACAAACCTCCAAATACCCCCTCCTAGCACAAATGCTCTCCCCCCCCCATCCCAACACAAACCACCCTACATCACCACTCCTAGCACATACCCCAAATTTCCCCTTCTAGAACAATTCTTACCCCCTGCTGCCCCCAACCCCTCCAAATTCCCCCTCTCAGCACAAATCCCCCTCCCCAATCTCGCAGCTCCACCCTACCATGATATCAACAATACCAAAGTGCCCAGGGTAGCACACCCTCCTGCCCACCCCTTGTCCTGGCCCTGGAACTAACCCACCCTATTGACTTGAATGGGCGAGTTTGACAGTTCCTCCTGTCAACTCAACAAGCAGTGGTAAATCTATTGGCATGCAAACCAACGAAGCTGCAGCATTATATAGCCCTCCACATGTTAGGTTTTAGTTAGGCAGTCAGAGGGCAGCAAAACTGTGACTGGACCACCTGTTTTTACCACCCCCTGAAATAAGGGTTAACGTTACAGGGAAGCTTAGTGTTAGACTTACTAGAAGGGCTAATGTTAGGATTACAGAGAGGATTATTGTTTTTTTTTTACAGGAAGGGTAAGTGTGAGGGTTACAAAAAGGATCAGTGTTGGAATTACAAGGATAGTTAGTGTAAGGATTACAGAAAGGATTAGTGTTAGAGTTAGAAGGTGGGTAAGTGTGTTACAAGTAGGGTTGATACCAGGGTTACATGGAGGGGTTAGCGTGAAGCTTTGCATTAAGGTGACTGTTACATAGTTACATAGTTCATCTGGCTGAAAAAAGACAAAAGTCCATCCAGTTCAACCATAAAAAAAAAAAAAAAAAAAAAGTTATAATCCTATACCCACAGTTGATCCAGAGGAAGGCAAAAAACCCCAGCAAAGCACGATCCAATTTGCTCCTGCAGGGGAAAAATATTCCTTCCTGATCCCCCGAGAGGCAATCGATTATTCCCCTGGATCAACTTTACCTATAAATGTTAGTAACTAGTTATATTCTGTGTATCTAAGAAAGAATCCAGGACTTTTTTAAATCCACTGAGCTGGCCAGAACCAACTCTTGAGGGAGTCTATTCCACATGTTCACAGCTCTCACTGTGAAGAAACCTTTCCGTGTTTGGAGATTAAATTTCTTTTCCTCCAGACGTAAAGAGTGCCCCTTGTCCTCTGTGATGACCTCAGGGTGAATAGCTCTACACCGAGTTCACTATATGAACCACTGATGTATTTATACATGGAGATCATATTCCCCCTTATGTATTATACATGGAGATCATATCCCCCCTTATGTATTATACATGGAGATCATATCCCCCCTTATGTATTATACATGGAGATCATATCCCCCTTATGTATTATACATGGTGATCATATCCCCTTTATGTATTATACATGGTGATCATATCCCCCCTTATGTATTATACATGGAGATCATATCCCCCCTTATGTATTATACATGGAGATCATATCCCCCTTATGTATTATACATGGAGATCATATCCCCTTATGTATTATACATGGAGATCATATCCCCCCTTATGTATTATACATGGAGATCATATCCCCCCTTATGTATTATACATGGAGATCATATCCCCCTTATGTATTATACATGGAGATCATATCCCCCCTTATGTATTATACATGGAGATCATATCCCCCCCTTATGTATTATACATGGAGATCATATCCCCCCTTATGTATTATACATGGTGATCATATCCCCCTTATGTATTATACATGGAGATCATATCCCCCTTATGTATTATTACATGGAGATCATATCCCCCCTTATGTATTATACATGGAGATCATATCCCCCCTTATGTATTATACATGGAGATCATATCCCCCCCCTTATGTATTATACATGGAGATCATATATCCCCCCCCCCCTTATGTATTATACATGGAGATCATATCCCCCTTATCTATTATACATGGAGATCATATCCCCCTTATGTATTATACATGGAGATCATATCCCCCCTTATGTATTATACATGGAGATCATATCCCCCCTTATGTATTATACATGGAGATCATATCCCCCCTTATGTATTATACATGGAGATCATATCCCCCCTTATGTATTATACATGGAGATCATATCCCCCCTTATGTATTATACATGAGATCATATCCCCCTTATGTATTATACATGGAGATCATTGTATCCCCCCTTATGGTATTATACATGGAGATCATATCCCCCCTTATGTATTATACATGGAGATCATATCCCCCCTTATGTATTATACATGGAGATCATATCCCCCCTTTTGTATTATACATGTGAGATCATATCCCCCTTATGTATTATACATGGAGATCATATCCCTCTTATGTATTATACATGGAGATCATATCCCCCCTTATGTATTTATACATGGAGATCATATCCCCCCTTATGTATTATACATGGAGATCATATCCCCCTTATGTATTTACATGGAGATCATATCCCCCCTTATGTATTATACATGGAGATCATATCCCCCCTTATGTATTATACTTGGAGATCATATCCCCCCCTTATGTATTATATACATGGAGATCATATCCCCCTTATGTATTATACATGGAGATCATATCCCCCCTTATGTATTATACATGGAGATCATATCCCCCTTATGTATTATACATGGAGATCATATCCCCCCTTATGTATTATACATGGAGATCATATCCCCCCTTATGTATTATACATGGAGATCATATCCCCCTTATGTATTATTACATGGAGATCATATCCCCCCCTTATGTATTATACATGGAGATCATATCCCCCCCTTATGTATTATACATGGAGATCATATCCCCCCCTTATGTATTATACATGGAGATCATATCCCCCCTTATGTATTATACATGGAGATCATATCCCCCTTATGTATTATACATGGAGATCATATCCCCCCCTTATGTATTATACATGGAGATCATATCCCCCCTTATGTATTATACATGGAGATCATATCCCCCTTTATGTATTATACATGGAGATCATATTATCCCCTTATGTATTATACATGGAGATCATATCCCCCCTTATGTATTATACATGGAGATCATATCCCCCCTTATGTATTATACATGGAGATCATATCCCCCTTATGTATTATACATGGAGATCATATCCCCCCTTATGTATTATACATGGAGATCATATCCCCCCTTATGTATTATACATGGAGATCATATCCCCCCTTATGTATTATACATGGAGATCATATCCCCCCTTATGTATTATACATGGAGATCATATCCCCCTTTTGTGTTATTATACATGGAGATCATATCCCCCTTATGTATTATACATGGAGATCATATCCCCCCCTTATGTATTATACATGGAGATCATATCCCCCCTTATGTATTATACATGGAGATCATATCCCCCCTTATGTATTATACATGGAGATCATATCCCCCCCCTTATGTATTATACATGGAGATCATATCCCCCCTTATGTATTATACATGGTGATCATATCCCCCTTATGTATTATACATGGAGATCATATCCCCCCTTATGTATTATTACATGGAGATCATATCCCCCCTTATGTATTATACATGGTGATCATATCCCCCCTTATGTATTATACATGGAGATCATATCCCCCCTTATGTATTATACATGGAGATCATATCCCCCCTTATGTATTATACATGGAGATCATATATTATACCCCCCCCTTATATATTATACATGGAGATCATATCCCCCTTATGTATTATACATGGAGATCATATCCCCCCCCCTTATGTATTATACATGGAGATCATATCCCCCTTATGTATTATACATGGAGATCATATCCCCCCTTATGTATTATACATGGAGATCATATCCCCCTTTATGTATTATACATGGAGATCATATCCCCCTTATGTATTATACATGGAGATCATATCCCCCCTTATGTATATTATACATGGAGATCATATCCCCCTTATGTATTATATACATGGAGGTCATATCCCCCCTTATGTATTATACATGGAGATCATATCCCCCCTTATGTATTATACATGGAGATCATATCCCCCTTATGTATTATACATG